CTCTGTCTCTGCTTAACCCAGGACAGCATCACAGAATGGAGGCTTGGCTTTCAAAGAAAGAAGTTGTGAGGATATCTTTACCTGTGTACTTTGTTTTCTTTGAAGTAACTTTTCCTTTCAAAAGTTGGCTAGTTTTTTCCCTTGTGTCTTTCAAACAGACACTGCCAAGTGCATTAAAATAAAAGAAGACACAAGACTGTTTCAGCCATTTTTGCAAGTGGTCAACATACTCTATAGAAGTCTGCAAAAGGATTCTTAAGAACCACTTGGTTTGGATTTGTTTCTTGAAACCTTCTGGGGCATGAATTAGAATTGGAGGGGGGGAAACTCCTTGCATTATTCTACATTATTTCATAAACAATGACTTTCTTTCCTGTGATGAAACACATACTTTTTCTCTGCCGGAGCAGGACACCTAGATCAGATCACACAAGAACGCATCCAGGCGGGCTTTGAATGTCTCCAGAGAAGGAGACTCCACAACCTCTCTGGGCAGCCTGTTCCAGTGCTCTACCGTTCCAGTGTGACCCACAGCTTCAGAGTTTTAAGTGCTAGAACGTAAAGTTTTGGTTATTTTAAGATAACTGTAGCTAGGTATGTTCTCCTTAAATTTAAGGCCAGCATTTAGTATTCTTATACAATGTATATTCTTGTTTAAGAAAGAAAAAAATTGGCTATTTGCACAAATGTATATAAATACAATGTGTGCTTGTTGGGGTTTTTTTGGCCTGTAGGAAGTGCTGTAGCCTCAGTAGCTGTTGATCCTAGTGGTCGTCTCCTGGCTACCGGACAAGAGGACTCTAGCTGTATGCTGTATGATATTCGAGGAGGACGAATGGTACAGAGCTATCATCCTCATTCCAGTGATGTTCGTTCTGTTCGCTTCTCTCCGGGGGCACACTACTTGCTCACAGGATCATATGATATGAAGATAAAGGTGACAGACTTGCAAGGTAACATACTGCAAAGGATTCTAGCTTAATTTTCAGTTTGGTGGTTTTAATATTGAAGTTGTAACAGAACTTCGTTCCAAGATCAGGTTTTAGTTTAAAAGTGGAAAAACAGTAGAGCTTTGAAGGGTTTGAAATGTATATAAATGCGATAGTGTCCACAATTGGCTAGTTGTGTTGTGAAGAATGTAGGCTATGAATTTTTTTTTTGGGGGGGGGGGGGTGTCTGATTATGATAAAAGAACTAATTACCACTGTTGCCTGATGAGATGGCCATTGCTTTCAGGCAGCATTCATAAAATTGACCTTTTAGAAAAAAGAAAAAAGTATAATAATCATGCTTATTTTTATTGGGAAGAGTTAAGAAGAGAGAAGATATGGGGTATATCTAATCGACTTGATTTTCTTGGACTATTCAATTTTAATCACATTGTTTAAAAACTGTGGATACCTGTACTTCAGAGTAGTGTCCAGTAATGCCTAAAAACCAAAACACTGGGGCCTTGTATTATGGTCGGGGGTGGGGGGGGGGTTGTCAATTATCTTCATAAGATGAAATACATATGTAAGCTTTACTAAACAAGCAGAAAAAAAACCACACAAAAAACCTCATCCCCCAAAAACCAAAGAGTTGGGATATAAATTCATGAAATGACTAATGATTTCTGTTCCTCTGCCACAGGGGACCTCACGAAGCAGCTTCCTCTGATGGTGGTAGGAGAGCACAAGGACAAAGTTATTCAATGTAGATGGCATACACAAGATCTTTCCTTCTTGTCGTCTTCTGCAGACAGAACTGTAAGCCTTTGGACCTACAATGGCTAGAGTGCAAACAAAGGCAACCTATGCAGCTAAAGCACAGAGACCTGAGGCAACAGAACTGTAAAAAGAGAGTAAGAATTAGGCATTGAGAGAGCAGCAGTTGAGCAAGAGAGTGGCTCGCCAAGAGGAGGGGCACTTGTCACAGATTTTTCTGGTTTCTAGGAGGTCTTGGTGTTTTTAGTATATTCTTTTGCAGTGCTTTCAGTCTTCCATGTGAACTCATGCTGCTGTGACCTATTGTAGTCTTGTTGCCAAAGTCTATGAGGAGAACTCTTACATTGTTGATGTGCACTCAAAGTAACATGAATGATGTGTTTACAGTTTGGTATTAATTGCATTCCTTGGTCTTTGCCTCAATGAGAATTTTCTATAGAAACTTAAGTTGAATAACACTTTAATCAAGTCTGTATGTAACTCGCTCCACACACACACAAAGAAGATAAACTGTTTCCACTGTTTTTTAGATTTATTATATTCATCACTTCTCAACAAGATGTCAAACTTTATAACATCTCCACAATTTCAACTTTTTTAGTAATAAGTTCTGAACTTTAAAGGTCACTACGCAGTAACCACATCTTGATTATGGCCCATTGTATAGTGTGGGCTTTTTTCTTTCTTTTCATTGAAGCTGGGGGAAATGTTGCTGTTTTTACTACATGACATTGTTTTGAACAAGCTAACATGTTGGAGGGGGAAAAAGTAAAATATTGCATTTTTTTCTGTAGAAACATAATATTTTACTTTTGAATGCAACAGAATACCTCTGTGTATAGTTAAGAGTGGATTGGCAGCAGTTGTCACAGTGAGCGTAATGGCTATCACGTTTTCAAGTAAAAGGGATACCATTAATGCTATCATAGAAACCAGCATGGCTTAAAATGCTGTGTCTGCATGATAATTTAAGAATTAAATTGTTTGAATTCCCAGTTCAGAAGCTTATCTGAATTTGATTTCTTGCACTGTTTATGTAGGGGAAGTTGCAGTTTTATTTCTACGAAACTTTAGATTCTAATGTTTGTTCTATTTTCATATTGTACAGTTCCTTTTACTTTTTAAGATATAAACCTTAAACATTAGGTTATTTATTTATTTGAACTGCAGTTAAGTTTTGGATTCTCTTGGTTAACTAAATTATATGTGCACTGTAGCAAGCATTTTTTACTATCGTATAAAAGTGGAAAGGTAACTATAGAAGTGTATCTGTGCTATAATCTCAATAAAGACCTCCAACACCTGCTCCTCTCTCCTGTGTTATTTTGCATTCTTGGTTTATGGTTCCTCAATGCACCTCTGATACTTAAACCGTACATCACAATCTGTGGTGTGCTGAGAACTAGGAAAGACTTTACATCTTTGATACCATTTCCAGGTACCTGGCTTTGCAGGGGGGTAAGTAATAATACAGTAGCACAGAGCTGAAAGTCTGTTTATTTTTCTATAGTGGACACATAAGGTTCTAATGCTGCTTTAGAGGAAAATAGGACTTCTAGTTCTTTCTGTTCCCCCAGGTGTCTATCTGTAGTCAAAGCTGGCTGACGATTTTTAATTAGCCCTACACCTATACTAATTTCCTTAAAGCGAAACACACCCTCAGGTCTGTGCAGAGGAGCCAGTTTTCTGTCTCTCGTTTTCTGTCCCACCCTCCTGTCAT